CATAAGGTATATACGGTTTATATATTTGTATAGTATTAAGCAACAATTTAGGCTACTGCTTAATTTCCTAACTGTAAGTGACAGGAGTGTTTTCACAGTGGTGTAGGATGCCTGCTATAAATCTCTGTCCCTGGCTGACGGGCTGCCTCCAATCTAGGCCGCTCATCAAGGTAACGGAAGAGTAGCTACAGTAGTTTTTTCACAGAGGGGAAAAACAGCTTTGATCTTTGATCTTCTCACTTTTGTTTGAAAATCAAATTTATCAAACGGGGGAATAAAAACAACAACATGATAAATAGATTTTTTTAAAAAGCCCACACACAAAGGCACCATACTAAAAAGTCTTGCATTTGATTATCTCCGATAATGAATATGTCACATCTGCAAAAAGGGGCTCAGGTAAGAAAATCACTAAAGCACCGACAAGCCTATTCTCTCCCTTTCCTTCATAATTACCTACCCCTGCAGCGGAACAGATCCCTCTCTTTTTTCTCCTTTAGGCCACTAGAGACGGATATGAAAGGGAATTGGACACTTGGGGCCACAAATACTGTAATTAAAAATCTCTCCGTTTCTTGATACATTGTTTGAAAACATCATTTTGGTGTGCCACATGCATCCGTTAGTGATCTGACCTAAATACACCTTAGATCACACACAGGAAAGCACTGGGTCTTTGTTTCAGGTTCCTTCTCTTTGTGTGAAAGTGAGGTGATTTACAGTAGGTACAACTGGTGAAAGGTGATGCACATCCCAAAGAGATACGGCACCTGTGATTATCAGTGCGTCTCATTGGATGAGGTACTGGGAGGTAAAAATTATTTTTCAATGTTTGTTCAATGAAATCAAGGAATTTGACACATCCAGCCATTTATTTACTGAGGAAATATTCACTTCCACAATTCATTCTTTCTGCGTGAGTCTACACCGGTTCAGAGGACAAAGCTTGGGTGCAATCAGAATGGCAGTCATCTTAAAGCTCCAGTATAGCATCATGACTCAAGAATAATAATAAGATAATTCACCTGGACTATTTGAAATGTGCTGTTTGTTATACTGTAGCTGGTTAGATAATCAGCCCAAGTCTTTAATGACTAAGGAACGGCACCAACAACCCACATCTGCTGTTTCTATTTATGTGAAATGCAAGTTGAACAGACTGAATAAGTCACACTGTGCTCTGGTATTAACAACAACTCCAACTCTACTCTCCTCCTGAGAATCTCCCCTTAGTCCCCACCCTCGGCATGAGTCGCCTCCACACACAAACACACTAAGAGACAAAAAAAAGTGGCCAATTTCATTAGCTCAATCATTAAATGAGGCTTAATTAGAGTCACTTTCCTTCGGAGAGAAGTCTGGGACTCAGAGCTGTTCCTTGTCATTACAGAGGCATAATGAGCCACACAACAACATAATACCCCTCACCCTCACAGCACAGACAACACTAGAAAACTTTCTCAGTACGATAGCAGTGTAAAGCACGGAGCCTTTGATATGTTTTTGTCATTACCAAGGATTAACGATGTAATGCCCTGTGGAAGTGCCAATATGGTGCCAATATGGCTCTGACAAGAAGTGACATGAATAAAGCCTGTTATTTAACATAAGATAGATTATGCCATTTTCTGTAGTAGTAATGAGATACAGCAACCCCTCCCCAAAGCTCAATAAGGGTTTGAAATTAAAGGAATTATTTTTGCCCTGTAGTCCATCCATAAACGTCTTTGATGTTTTATAACAAGTCCAGTCCAGCCGGTCTCTACTACTGTCTTAATGTAATGTTCACCTGCTTGTTATAGTTTGGAGGCTGATAGGAAGTGATGCTTGTACGTCTCCCCCGGGTGTGATTGGGAGGTAAATATTAGCAGGCCCTCAGCGCCACCCCATACCAGTAAACCAAACCACTGTCCTCTCATAAAGAAATCAACAGAGTCAATGACTTTTAAAATGTTATTATGCTGTCATGAGGCTTGAGATGGGTATGCGCATATACAAAATGAGTCTGAAAAATGATCTGGTGGGAACGTGTGTGTTTGCGTGCATGTGCACAGGCTTGTATGCACAAGCTCCTCCTGTTCATTACTGGCCAGCAGCAGAAGCCAGTCATTTCCCTGTCTTCATAAAGACTTGGCCCATTAAATTCTACCTCCAGTCAATAATTAGGACTCCACAAATAAACCAAAGGCAATTAAATCAATGCTTCCCCGGGCCGGTGCCTGGACCCCATGGCCCACATGGACACTCCATCTTCACTGCTGGCCTTATTCATGGTGGGTTGCGGTGGACCCATACAGTACACCCCCTGGCCTGCTCATGATTATTAGATAGCTCCGTCCCTCGATCCTGGCTATGGAGCGCTGCTTATGGTGGCTCTCTACTGAGAGACATAGGGTTTGATTTCATTAACTCACCAGTGGAGGTGAGAGATGAGGAAATGAATGCAATGTTTCATTTGGTTTTGAGTGGACATGAGGGGCAACGGTGAGGGATATCAAGAAATCTATGCCACTTCTTCAGCAAGAAGGGAGCACTAAGTCAACACACACAGTTACATACATCCACAACACACTGTTTGCCAATGTGTTGCAGATGTCTCTCTTTCTTAATCTGCTGACAGGTGGAAGCACATGACAGTGATGGCAAACAATAGCCTAAACACAGAGCCAAAGACCCACACATACATATCACTCTTTCACATCTGCAGACACACACATATACTGTAGAGACACACTCAGAATGAGTGATAGGTTTGCTATTGACAGGGCTACTGAGATAATAAAGTGCTGTCCCACTGGCAGCTCCATTAGGCACTGACAGCGACAAGATGAGGCTGCCATGAGTGCTCACAGTACATGGCCACACATACACACACACAGATTGACACATTCTCATCCCCTTTCAGTGACAGCCAGCGAGTTAAGGACACAGAGCACTCTCTCATCTTTCCTTTCACTGGGCCTCTCTGTTTTTGTCTTTTTAATCAAAGAAGTGCGTTTGAGTGTAGCTTGGAGTTAAGATCATATCATTATTAGTTTGTTGTTAGTGTCACAGGGAGGGTGACAGGCCAGGTCATTCCATTTCACAGATGTTCTGCTTGGTGAGCCTTTCATAACCTACAGTACGACAAAGACTACTGAAACCAAGGGGGTACAGTGTGAGTTCTTGAAGTGTATTTTATCACTAAAAACCGTTGGCTTCTCAGCATCAGCAGATGTGTGTAGTAAAGGCATATTATTAGGGAGGTTTTAAGAAAGTCAAATTAGGAGATGTACTTAAACTGACCAACATTCAGGTGCTAGAAGTGTCTTCATACGACCTTTCGCTTGTCTCTTGGCATGAGATATGTCACACTGGCCCTACAGATAAATCAGAAATATGAAAGAGACAGGGAGTAGCTGGTATCCCCCTTTGATAGGACAGAGCGCTTTTAAAAGAATCAGAGAGCAAGTGAAAACAGTGAGCTATAGAGGAGAGGAAAAATTAAAAATAAATAAATAAACAGAAAACAGAACAAGATGGACATGAAAGGGGATAGAAAAAGTCTGCTGCAGTGAGGGGGGATGACTCCGGTGGTCCCAGCAGTCCCCACAGGGACCTGGGGGCGAGTCTCAGCCTTGTCATACTCTGCTCGTCTCCTCCTCCACTCCCTGCTCCAGCTCCAGTCCCCCATCCCAAGCTCCCCCCACCCCTGTTCTGCCCACGGAAAACGTCGATAGCAGGCTGCCGGTGCCGAGGTCTCTGGTGGACACTAGCTCATTCTCCCAGCATCGACAGGCCCGCCAAATCAATATTTAGTTCCCCACTAACAAGCTGCCTCGGGGTCTGAGCCAGAGAGAGAGACAGAGAGGAATGCAGGACAGTGGATGATAGCAGAGAGAGACAGAGAACAGGGACTGAGAGCTGTCCAGCTAGAAGGGAAAAACATGGATTCAGTAGAGTGTTGTGTGTGTGTTAGTGTGGGAGGGGGAGAGGAAGGTGGAAAGGTCAGAAGAAGATCTGGGGAACAAGAGAGCGGTGTCTGGTGTGTGTCGTGGTGCGGAGGCGACGCATGAGTGCCTGCGGCAGTCGCAGACAAGAACACGGAGAAGAACACAACAAAGCCACACACACACACACACACACACACACACACACACACACACACACTCAACACTCTCAATCATACGCATATCACAGTGAGCAGACATTGACAGCACTCGAGTAAAGCTCCAGCAGAGCACTCACAGATGAGTGGATGCACACACAAAGACTCTCGCAGACAAGGATGTAGTTGCTTTTCTTTGTTTTAGCTTTTGTATCAGTGTTTTATTTTTAGACCCTGGTGTAGGACACATCTGGGCGTGTTGCATGTGTATGTTTACTGTATGTGGATGACAGAGGAACTATGTACAATGAAGACTGATGAAGCAGCATATCAACATCGTTAGGACAAAATAGTATGATAGCATGATAGCTATCTAGACAAAAACACCCACCCATTAGGAAATAAAAACACCTAAAGAACAAGCTTGAACAATCAGGCCTACATTCAATTACACAGAAAACAGGTACAAATTTGTAGTTACAAATGCAAAATAACATTACTATTATACAATTCTAAACTAGCTGAAATGTAACATTTATTATTAATGAATGAAATAATCTAGCTAAAATGAATATTTCACAACAGATTCTCTTTTAAGGTATAGTATTGCTCCGTAAAACTCTGCAATGCCTGCTACAGTATCTCTACGGTCACTGTTACGAGGTGAAAGGCAAAGAATGAAAAGTGCTCTGTCTCAAGGTCACTAGTAATTTAAAAATTATGAATAGTGGAAAAATAATAACCAGCTATTTTATTTACATAAAACAATACAGATTATAGTACCAGTAACATTTTAAGAATGACTTTGTTTCAGGCACTCTGCTCCATTTCAATTCGTTTTAGGCTAATAAGTTTGCACAAGAGTCTTTATTACTAAGAGTGTGAAGGAATTAGTAAAGTGGGTGAGCCTTACCTTCTGCTGGAGGATGTGGTTGAGATGGTCCAGCCACTCCTGGTCTCTTAGACTCTCTGAATGGGCCTCTGTCACCTGCAAACAGAACAGTGAATATGAACATATGAACACATCACTGACAGGTGAACACAGTCATACATTTCTCTTTAAACATGATTTTTTTTTTTATATTACCTATATTAGTGTTTTATTGTGTTAAAAAAATCAAGTGAGTCATGCTTGAGCTATGTGTGATGTTTCTACTATACTGTATCTTGACTGGGGCCTGCTTGAGGGCAGAGTTGTAGCATCACACCAGCCAGAACCTTGAAGGAGCTCTCTGGAGTCTCAGTGGCGGAGTACACCAGAATAAGTTTGCATGCAACTCATGTATAAAGCCCTAACAGAATGGTAGCCTTGTTACTGCTAATGAACAGGGTGAAGAGAGACTGTGTGGCCATGTACACCTCAGCACTAATGTGCTACCTCTTCACTTCAAACCCCAAGTGCTGATGCTCAAAATGATGTGACAAGCCTTGTACAGCCTCAGAGGGAGGGCAGGAGGGGGGAAAAGTCTGTGTGTGTCTGAATATTAGTCCCCGCACTTGCCGACTGGCGAACCTAACAGGCACAATTCTGCAAAGTCTGGGGAGGCAACACCACACGTCTGCACAGAGGCTCATGCAGACTTCACCTGAACATGCTCTCAAGATGACCCAATAATCATACAGCAGCATTATGGATATGAGTGAGCTGTGAAGGCCATAATATGATTCACATCATTTTCATATTCATCAAACTATTCAGTGACCCCTTGTGCCCTGTGGATGGGGGAACTGTCCTCATGGAAAATACCACTCCCCCCAGGATAAAAATGTTTCATTATATTATAAAGATGATCACCCAGAACAACATTGTACTGCTTTACATTGACCATTCTTTCCATGGGAACAAGTGGACCCAAATCATGCCAGCATTTGCATTTTTTATGTTTCTCCACTCATTTATTCAGGTTTGTCCCTTTATTTGTCACCCACCTGTATCTATATGCATGACCAAAGTATGTGATGGATTCAAGTGTCGTTCCCTGCTTCCTGATGGTATTCTTTATGTATGATCCTGGTGATGGTACCAGGGCTAGGCTAATTTCACTGCATGCCTAACTTGTGACTAGCACTTAAGAGTAACAGAGAAGCAGACAGAAAGCAGGGGGTTGGGAGTGTGTGGCGATATTAGAGAGAGAGAGAAAGAGGGAGAAGAGGGCCTTCTTCCAACCTGCCACAGGGGTGAACACCGTGTGTAAAAAGACTTTGTGTGAGAGTCAGTGTGCGTATCCACCCTTGGTAGATATACTGTACAGTATAACAAAGCTCTGACCCTCCATCTAACATCAGATGCAAAACAAACTGCCCTGGCAATTACAGCCTTATTACATCTGGATCATTAACTCCACAACAAGTTGCCCAGGGAGCCTGGAGCTGCTTGGGCCCTTTGTGGTCGTCTTTTGCACGTTATGGAATGAATAGAGGCAAATAATACTGTGCTGAATGGTACATGCGTGTTAATACATGAAGCAGGTATGTTTGAGGACACTTAAATGCCTTCTTGGTAGCTTTTCCAGATACACAACATAGATTGTGTGTGTTTGCATGTTTGTAAGGATGCAGTTCAACAAAATGGACAAACAAAAAGAAAACACCCACACACACACAAATTCCTAGGAACAAGGGTGCTCTCACTTTCATTGCTATGTTGTCTATTATTACAATACCAGCTACACAAACAGCCTTGGCACAATGTTTAGAAAAATGTTTAAAGAAAAGCTCTGATTCTTTTTGCAGGAACAAATCAACAAACCAAGAACACCACTCTGGAGGAAACTAAAAAATGTAACCTTTCGAAGTGATGCTGGTAATTACACCAAGGATGTCTGCTCCCAAAATTCTCCTACAATATAACCACAGGAATAATGTGTTTAAAATTTTAATATGCCTAAAATTTAAAAACGGGTTGATTCAAGTACTATTGCCCTACGATGCTGAAAAAAAAAATCTTGACAGGAGAACTCTTCCAAACTAAAGAAATGTAGCTATGCTAACAATGAAGTAAAATCATTCCCACTGAGCCCCGTGCTCTCATTCATCACACTGGTATCGCACAACTAAGTGAATACATGAATACACTATGTGTTAGACTCGGTAAAGACTACCAGGACATCCTGATAACCTAGTGTCATGTCCTCAAGTCCAAAGAAAACACACAACTTGTCACAAACCAGGCTCAGTTTAGATTGTATTGTAGATCTATTCTTAAAATGCTCGTTTAGTCTCATCTGCACAGCTGAAGCATGGTTCAGGTTCAGTTTGGTTCAGGTTGGATTAGGTAGGGTGCACTTGATTTTGCGTTACCCCCAACCCCAGACTGACTAACATCAATGTGCCCAGCAGGTGTTTCAGTTGGAGCACACATGTAATCGTTTCTTTGTGACACATTCAGATGTATGTACAAAGACAATTTGTCTTGGGATCTATTTATGACATTCAAAAGCAGTAACACATACTCATGCTGCTTAACCTCACTCTGTGACAACATTTATAATTTCCTGGCAGGCCTGTGTGCTTTCAACAACATTGTGATCTATGAATGTTCAATTAACAAAACAGGAAAAGTCTGCTATTAATCACCATTAATATGACAGACAAAACAAGTGCTGAGGAGAAGACAACGATGTTAACCACAGAGGTTTAAGCTGTGATAAGAGGGACTTTTTGTCAAGTGAGAAACTATTCACTGTCATCTTCTGGGTGGAGCTGGGCTGCAAAGGGCTAAAATTGGTTTCAAGTGTGAGTAAGTGTCTGGTGCACTCTCTCTCATCTTGTGATAGATGGGAGGAAGTCTCCAGGGACGGGAGGTTGATTGTAACACAGAGCTGCTAATTGATGACACCACTGGGTATGATCTATGGTAGAGAAAGGACCCACCAAGTTGGAGAAGAATGCGAAATTCGGACTTTTGCAAACGTATAACAGTCAATAGCAAGGATTTTCAGTTCAATGACGGCTTTCACCTAAATGAAGAGTTGTACTTGTACAGTCTGTGCCACATTAAATCTTCTATCAAGTTGACAGGTGCTGCAGGTGTTGACAAGTTTTTGATTTTGTCAAGACAAAGAACACGGGCGAAGCCACATCCCTCTCTGTTGCACTGCAACCACTCAGCTTATTAGGGACATGCCTTAGTGTCTGGTTCACCGTTACAAAACATTACTTGGTGTTCAGCATTGCTTACTTGCCCACATCTATGCACCCATCAATAAGAGAAGGTCAGTCAGAAGCAGAGATTTGCAGCAGGGCTAAATACCTGTAAATACAGGTGAAATAAACTAAGAACACAAGGCTTCTGTTTTATTCCTCCACCAAATCTGTTTCCAGAGGGCAGGCTCAAGTTAGCTACTTGCCACTCATTTAGTCTCAATTGACAAAGAAGATGCCCAAAAGCTACAAATCGATATTGATGATATAATGTCTTTCCAAGTCATCTGGTGCAATCACTAAGCAAAACCCCTTGAAAACTTTATGGTTTCAGAATTTTACAGTTGAGAAAATCTATTGCAGGTGGTACTGAGGGCATAATCTAGACTTGATATAGATCTTTAGGTTAAAGTTTGTAGGAAGTGTTGACCAACCATCCCTCGGCCTTACCTGATCAGTGTCCATTATGTCTTCGAGATCATTCTCTGACATATTGAGAATAGAAGCAGCGATGGACTTGGCTTTGATCATAGACTTGGCTGAGAAGGCACCCTTTCCTGCCACAGTGCTGGCCTGCCTCAACCTCCTCCTCTTCATCAACTGCTGCTTGACCTCTTGAATGTCTATAAGTATTTCACTGGCCAGGGCCTGAAGGGGAAGAAGAAGAAAAAGTAAAAAAAATAGAAGAGGATGATGAAATGGATATAGAAAAACAAGAGGGATAGTTCTGCCTGACAGATGAATAAATGAAATTGATCAAGCATGCGCCAGAGAGGCCTAGTACATTATGGAGGAATATTGAGTTTGACACACACAAGATTCTCTTCAGTTTCGCCTCACGCTCCCTTGTAGGAATATGGACCTAAGGGTTTGTTGCCCTGTCGATTGACAGCTGAGGGAACACAGCTTTGATATCAAACGTACCCCAAGTTTTAGTAAAGCCTCCACAGACAGAGATTCGTGCACCAGAGAGCATAAGACAGAGAGCTACTGAAAATACAGCCATTCATTTATTTATTTGTTTTCTGAATGTTTCGCAGTACAACAGGGCAGCACAACACTGTTAATAATTAAGCTATGAGGGGCTGTTTCAAATGGTGCCCGAGTGAATGGCAAGCGAGACGAGGAAGGCCTGGGATGGCACAGTTGTCGGGCACTAAATGGGAGTTTGCTCTAAATACAGAGAGACAATTAAATGTTAAAACTGCCACTGTACACGAGAAAGTCAATAAAGTAAACTCCCCTTTGCTTCATTTTGAGCTTACTGATCGAGGCAATAATCTTCTGTATCATTCCCTTGTAAGCCTGCTGAAAAGCTGACCTTGGAATAGATGGTCAGATGAGGAAAGCTAGAGACAGGAAAACTTGCAGTACACCAAAACAACAATAAAAATAAATTTTTTGAAAAAAAAAAAAAAAAGAAAGAAGCAAAGCACAACCTGCTCTTGGACTGTACAGAATATAACCAGGCAAGCAAGAACTACAGTGCATACGCACACATAAGTAGCAACCAATGAAAAGACTCTGGTGCATTATAGTAACAAGGATAAGCACACATGAAAAATGTTGAATAGCAGCAACCATCTCCACTTGTCTCTCAATTTCACACAGGTGGACCAGGTACAGTTTAGAAAGGCTGTGATGGTTTTCCTAAGAGAGTGCTGAGTGAGCGGTTGGAAGCCTGCAGCTGACAGTATGTGGACTGTTGCAGTTTGTCTATTAGCAACAATAAAGATACACAAAAGGTCAGAAATTCAGATATTCAAAAGGAGCGTGAACAAAAACCCAAAAGGAAGACAGGATACAAAGCCCACACACTTTAAAACTCTTAACAAAATATAAAAAAAATAGCACATATAAATCAAATCATGGGAGATGAGATTTTTTTGCCTCCTAGTCTCTGTTAGTACTAAGATTTTCAGTCTGCAGCTCCACTTAGTTTTAACTCGACATGAGTGTGACCAGTTCAATTTAATTAAATTTCAAATTTTCACAGGTGGTCTATTTCCATGTAGGTGTAAATGAGCAGAATAGCACCGATTACAAATAATGAGCAGAAATCACAGCCATTGGCCATTTCTTGGTAAATAAAGGCAGCTTTAGTTCAGTTTGGTGATCTGAAAGCTGCGTTTCCCTTAAGGGATACACAGCTTATTTGTCAGACATCCTATTCTTTTATTTATAGCCTAGTAGATATTCTCTGTCACTACTCAAGGGTTACATTCAATTGACCTAAACCTTGCATATGGAATAATCCAGAAAGAGATTTAGGGTTAAATTTACAGTTGGTTCCACAAGTATTTAGACAGGGGGACAATTTCTGTAATTTTGCCTTTGTACACCACCACAGTGGATTTGAAATCAAGTAGTCAAAACGTTACTGAAACACAGACTATCAGCTTTAATTCAAGGGGTTTACAAACATATAGAAATTTCAGCGGTTTTTATACAAAGTCTTCCGACCTGTTTTTTAGAGGCTCAAAAGTAATTAAACAACTGACTGACTGATAGTTTCATGGGCAGGTGTGGTATGTTCCCTTGTTATTTCATGAGAAACAGATAAAAAAGTCTGGAGTGGACTGCAAGTGTTGAATTTGCGTTTGGCAGCTGTTCATTGGAACTCTCAAACTGTGGTCCAAAGAGGCTTTGATGCAAGTGAAGGAGGCAATGATAAAAAACAAACCAAAACTATGAGAGATAGAACCTTTAGGAGTGGCCCAATAAACAATTTGGGTACATTCTCAAAAAGAAGGAATGTATTGGTGAGCTCAGCAACACCAAAAGGCCTGGAGGACCACAGAAGACAACTACAACTCAAGCCACAAACCACTGGTAACACTCAAGAACAGAAAGTAATGAACAGCTAAAAGATGTTCGACTCGTTACCTCTGAAACTCCTCACACAGACGACAACACAAAGGGCCATTTCAAACCAAAGCTTACAGTAAAGTCTCGGCGGAGTGAAATGATGAATTATGTAAGCACCTTTCACAGGTATATGAAAAGTATATAAAGTAATCACAGGTAAATAATTGTTATATCAACACTGTTGAATACAGCTTGTCGAAGACCTGCAGCAATTTCAAGGAATTATAAAACTCTTTTTTATGGGGGGGGGTGTAAAAATATCCAAGTTATTACACATTGTGCACAATTGTGCACTTTTCAGCAGGGATAAGCCAAAATATTCAGTGCAAGAGAACTACCTCGAGCGTGTGTGTGTGTTTGTGTTCACAGTAGTCACTACATGCAAGGCCACTATTTAGCAGTTCAACACCAGTGCTTACAGCCTGGGGCATGTGCAGGGACTAAAAGGGTTGCCTGGCACACAGTAAAAAAAAAAAAAGTCTACACATACACATACAACAACAACAAAAAAAAAAAAAAAACAAGCTCATAAAAAACACACTGACACATCTATACACGCGCGCGCGCAGCCCTCCAGTCCTGATCAATACATGACAAGAGTAAATCTCCTCTGGACGTCAGGCAGTCCAATCAAAGGGCTCGGTGTTCTTATAGGGGATCACAGGAGCCAGGGGGAGACAAACAATGATGTGAATCCTCAACAACACATTGGCCCCACCAGTCTAGGGTTATGGGAATGGAGGAGAGGAATAATACGAGTGTCAACTGTTTCTATGTGTGTGTGTGCTACTGCATGCAATGCAACTTCTATTTTTAAGTTACATGCATCTATCTATCTTCACTATATTGTATGCTATTTTGTGTATGCATGCAGCACATTTGCAAACAAAACAGATGACTAAGGGTTTGGTTGCAGAAATCAGAGGTTGGAAAAGGCAGAAGATGATAAAACACATCCACATGTAATTCTCCTCAGCTCCAAAGCTGAACAATAACTGTTTCTGTAACTTGTGGCTTATGAAGACAAAAACAATGGAAAATGTCCATGAATGTACGTCTACTACCTGCCACTTGATTTATACGTGTGCAAATCTACTGCCACCACTATCTATCTCTGCCAAGTCATGTCTTCCTTTGATAGACAGGTGTCAGCTAAACAGAGTTGATGGAGAGTCTTTGCCAGAAACGCTCACAAACTCACTTCAAAGTGATGAATTAGGCCTAGACAAAGACAACAGTGCCCATTCCCACTGGGCACGCAGTATTCTCACTGATGGCCTATGTCTCCTTATAAGTTGTAAGAAAAACTAACAATACACAGAACCTTACACAAAACCTTGCAGGCAGTGCATCAACCTGAGGTCAGGGGTGAAGAACTTAAAGGCACACCACACCATAGTGGTTTAAGACAAGTTAGTTCACTATTCAGAGTGTGAACTCATGACCTTTGATCCCTTGTCTCTTTCACACAGTACCTTGATGAAAGAATGAAGCTGCTCCAGTTGAGAGCAGGCCTGGCCTAGCTGTCTCTGAAGCCTCTCCAAGACATGGGAGCTCTGCTGGGTCAGCCCCTCCATTTGCTCAGTGGCCGTCTGTTCTAGTACAGCCAAAGCCTGCTCACTGGATACCAAACGAGCCTGTAAGGCATGCATACGCTGCTCCTGTACAGAAAGAAGTAGGAAAAACTGGTTAGCTGAGCACAAAACTGCTTCATGAAAGTACAGAATGTCGACATAGGCATTTAAGACACTTTCATCAATTGTAGTAATTGTAGAATTTCAAGTTTCCTGACTTTGGCAACTTCTAGTGGTAGTGTCTAATCTGAAGACACTGAGAATGAATGGATGAGAGCTATACAGGTCAGTTCCTGAACAGAACTTCTCTCGTTGTCTAACCTACTGTTCCACAAAACAACTGGTTGAAAACTAAAATAAACTTTGCTGGCAATGCAGCTGTTTCCAACCTTTTTCTCCAGGTCCTCTTTCAGTTTCCTAGAGGAGACCTCACACTGGTTTTTCTCTGTGGTCGCCACATTCAGTCTTCTCTTTAGAGAATCAATGAGGGCTTTCCTATTGGTGGCCTCTTCTGATAAAGTCTTCACCTGTACAGAAGTGAAGCAAGAGGGAAACAGGAAGGTAAACAGCAAAACCAAACAAACAGGTAGGTGTATTGTACAAGACACACAAGTTACATATTCAATTTAAGTTTCATTCAAATCATCTAAGTTAACATCTATCAGAGAAGTAAATGTAACAGTCCGTAAATGGGATTTCCTTTATGTTCGGTCATCTAGGAGATGTCTCTGGACTATGAGAAGTGCTGAGCACTATGATAATCCTCCAAAGTGCATCAAACAAATCTGATGGCATAATGATGGTGTCAGCTGTGATGTGATGTGTACCTTCTTCTCCAGCTCCTCCACCTGTCCTCTGTAACTTTTCTCCATCTCCTGGAGAAACTTAAGTCTCGTCTTCAGGTCCTCTACCAGCTGCCTTTTCATATTAACATCCCGCTCTGTGTGGCTTGCCCTGAAAAAAACACATAAAGGCACGAGAATGAACTCGACACAGACATTTATATTCAAGCACAGGCACACACTCGCATACAGCATGTACATAGCAGCCACACACCAACACGAAGCTGGCAGGCACAGTGTCCCCATGCAGTGCATCAGGCATGACAACTCATTATGACAACTAAATACACTGGCATGCTGTTTGGGTAAGTGGAGGGGGGTGAAATAAGGATGCATATATAATTCTAACTGGCGCATATTAGAACAAGTGCTCTGGTGGGGAATGTCACACTAAGCGTGACTGGGGAGTCCTTTTTGACAAACGGCATTTTGAATCAGCAGTGACACTACTTGAGAGACTGTAATCAAATATATAAATGTTTATTATTTCAGCTCAGCATTACACCAGTTACATATAAAAACACATCAGCAGGGGAACATGGTTTGGGAAAGACTGATTATGAAGGGAATATGCACTACACAATGTTGTTTGTATGCTGTAGTGTGCGCTGATAATACTTCCCTAAAGAAAGACAAATTCCCTGTCCTGTCAGCTGTTCATGTCTTAACTGTCGCGAACATGCTCCATGTGTCACTTCCCATTTGGATACCTGCTGTACTGACATGTTTAATATTCTAGCATTCTGCACATTCATATTATAATAAGGCCTTGTTTTAAATTGGCTCAGTATGTTAGGATGTTTTATTATGTTTTCACAAAAGCGACTAAGGAGCATTTTTCATGGTTGTCTATATCTTTGGGGAATTGGAACAAACAGAAGACATATTATATGTATACAGTTCATTTAAATGTTTTTTGCTGTAGTTTATTTCAAACATGTAGTAGATTTCTTAGCTCCCACATGCATCATGGCTTGTGTTTTAAATAAACAGATGACGCAATGCTAGAGCAAATGCTTTCGTGTAAGTAAATGTCCCTGTCTCCCAAGGTGGATGAACGCCTGAGGGCAGACTGGCTAAATAAATGTGAGCTTGTCCTATTGGAGTGACATTAAATGAAATGAGAGAGGAGTCTAGCCTGGGGACTTTGGGGGGGAGCAGCGCTAGCTGGTTACTCCATGGATTTGCCCATTAATGAGAAAACCCATATTGAACCTTCCAGATGACTGTCTGGTGTTGACTTAAAGACAGAAAGCAGCAATAAGAGCCCCAGCAGCTCCCTCTGTCCCAATGCTAATGGCAATTAGATCGACAACATTTATTTTAGATGTTCTCTTCTTCTGCACCCCAGTAAGAACAGAGGATGAAAAAGAATGAAGGATATATGGTGCTTCTGTCGGAGCGTGTGATCTCTATTTATGAGTGTTAGTGAAAAGAGAGAAAGAGAGCCTCAAACAATATCCCGATCATTTGCACGTTTGTTCCCTTTGTTCTGTGCTTGTTGGCAATATTGTTCATCAAACATGCCTGTATTGTAATGATAACAGTCAGTGATCTGAAGTGTCTGTGCTTGTGTGAGTGTGTGAGAGAGCATATTTCTGTGTATGTTGTTAAGACTGAAGTGCGGATGGACGTTTCATGTGGCTGATAGACAACAGGGCTGAAGATGAAAGAAGGAGCTTCATAAATAAGGCAGGGCCATAGTGCCGGATATTGACTGAGGACATGCCGGTGTACTTTGAAATTCATTTCTTTTCCCCCCTTCTCTTCTTTAAGGCGAAACAGCCTTTGCTCCCTGTGTGTGTGCTGAGATGTATATTTCAGAGGTGTCTAGACATGTCTTTCATTCTGAGAAGGGGTCCCTCCATGGAGGCAAATGGAGTGGTAGTCAAGAAGAGATGGCAAGTTATGCGCGTGTGAGTGAATGTGTGACAAGAGCCTGAGGAGAGGCTGAGGTTGTCGTGGAAACTCAGCTGAGAGATGTTCGTTCCATCTGGCTGTGATCTTCTGTGGTTTGGTCACATACAAATGTGTACCTGCTGTGACTGTACACATGCCCTGGATGCATTATTGAGAATGGCAAGTAGAGGACACAACATACAACACAAAGAGAATAAGAAGGAGGAAAGCAAAGTTGTTCTTTGTACCTTTCTCTCAGTTCAAGACAAAGACACTGTTCAAATCTTGACAATTTCTCTGAGTGAGTTGTTTATACCCATCTAGTCTGACTATGTAATGCAGCTCCTGCTACAGTAGCTGAACCATGTAATTCATTTGGGCTTGTGGCCCACAGGCCATAGTGATGCTGTGTGGGTATTAGTGTCATGGGCCAAAATGGTCCCTCCTGCGGCGCACAATCAATCAATACACTGCTCTGATCAGCACTCCATATCAGCTACCCACATAGCAACACCACATTACATGCCACACAAGACACCCACATGCACACCTAAACATTAATTCCTTCAGTTGCTTTTATTCACTCGCTCATGGGTGCATGCATAATTTGACAAATGAATGGTGCAAAGGAAAAGGATGGAGTGCAGCAGACAGAGTGCTGCCACATGGTGGAATCAAACACTGCAGATGAGAGCTGTACAGAATGTGCAAACACGGAGACAGAGACACAACGAGATGGAGAGACAAAGACAGAGAGAGGACGCAGAAACAAGGGAGGCGAGGTGATGTGCTGCGGAGCAACAACATGAAAGAACCACAGAGAGGAAGAAGTAATAATTATGAAGAGAAGGGTGTGAAACTAACTTATCCTGCAGCTGACAGAGCTTGTCGTCCTTCTCCTGAAGTTGGCCTCGCAGGGCTTTGTTAGCTGCCACCTGCCTTGTGACCTCCGCACTTGCACTCTGAGGGGAGGACACATGGTATATGTGTATTTGTTAATGTGTTTGAGGCGTGCGATAGGGGGTGGGGAAGGTTTTCACACAGATGATGACAGGTCAGGCACAGCATGGCTCCTCATTATAGTTACAGCAGGAGAGTGGAAGGTGCTAAAAGAGGTTAAGAGGGAAACTATTTTTCCAAGTGGATGAGATCAGGGGTGTAATTATGAAAAATAATTTATATTGCAATTTTTCTGAATATATTTTAATATGGATATA